GTTTTATGTGGTATTACATTCGTGCCTGCCGATGAGATTTCGCATCGCATTTCGATATAGAAAATGGAACAAGTTTGAAGAGCAAAAAGCATGCCGCGAGCTGCTGCGAATCGCAGGGGAACATTTCCGACGGGTTGGAAAACCTGCCTTTGGCAATTCATGGCGGTAATAACATTCTTGTAACTTTTCATCTTCACGCTCTGCATCCCCCTCTGCACCCTCCTCCCCACTCCCTACCCCCTCCGACCGATATTTCTATCGGGTGGAAGTATCTTTTCCGGCGCGCATTGGAATTCTCGCGCGGACATTCGCACAGTTATAACTTTTACAATCGCAAATATATTCCGCGGCGCGGCGTTTAGTCGTAAATGTGAGTTGCATAACGAGTATTTGTATTTAATGTATTAAACCGCACGACGGTGGAAAAGATTCGATTCGATCGCAGGAATATATTTGTAATCGGGTCAGAGACGGCATTTACCAAATGGGGCGCGATGAGCGCAATTTTCGCTCGGCGAGGAAAAACGAACGCGCTATGAAAACGCGGCACACACACACACAACAAAAAAAAAACGATATATAACATAACGCGCGTAATATATTCTAGATATAAACGTAATGTTATGTAATTGCAATGTTATTGTTCGTTCTAACAAATATCGCGCGTCTCACAGGATACTGCGTAATCATATGTTTAATGTATGTAAATAATAATAATAATAATAATTTGATATACAGTTTACATTTATATTTATTAATATCTTTGTCAATTTGCAATAGTACTTTTATACAATGAATGGTCTCGAGTAGATAGCGCCAGGAACTTGTGTATTTTGTGAAAAGTGCTGTGCGTGAAGAGATCTTTCTTCCCGTTATCATCGTGCATTATATAGATAAGAAACGAAAGATCCTTCTCGCAAGAGTTCCGCTAAAAATCGGCGAATTCATCGATCCTCCAAAGTCCAAAGTCGAATCGTCGAATGCTTATTGAACCGTCGTCCTCGTACCTTTTGCAAACGACTTTCAGAAAATTTCTCGTTCTCGTCGGCCAGCTCGAAAAGCCAGCTCGTGAGTGAATCCCGTTTCTCGCGCTGGATAAAACGCTGTTACCCTCGAGAGAGATTTGTTGTTCGAGATCCAACTAGAACGATAACTTATCTAGACTCGCTGGACTTTTCAGGGATCCGCTCTGCGGAAAGTTCTGGCGGAATGGTCGCGAGTTCTCGCACTTGAGTTTCATTGTCTCTCTCTGCACTCGAGCCCGTGTGAAATCGGCATTCGAAAAACCACCAGAGTAATATCCGTACTAAGATCTAAGCTTTTCAATGATTTATAATTCGCAACTTGGTGCTCGAGAGTGTCAATTGTTTATTACAACAATCAATGTATTTCCTGTTGGCGGTGATAAGTTTTTCTTAATAATAATAATAATAATAATAATAAATTATGAAATTGAATTTTAATCGTACATTCTTTTGCAAATGGATTCACCAATTACAACTAGTCAATTCAAAAAGGTACGATTTTTTAATCGTGCCTGATAAAAATGACGTTTACGTTACTGCAAATGTTGTTACGCAAATGTTGTTTGCTAGATTTTGAGATGAAAAGGATGAATAAATAAGTTAGGTAAATTATGAATACATGATTATATATTTAGAGACATATGCACATGATGCTCCTCTGCGAAGCATGACCATTCTGAAGTACGTCATTCGTGGAGAGCCGCGCGAACTTTCGGATATGATGTTGAGTTAGGTCGTGTAAATAATAGGAAACCAAGCGTGCCTGAGAGATCCCTCGAAAGAACAATACCTCTTTGTCGGTTTGCAAACGGGACTGTTTCGCCCTGGCAAACAAGTGATGATTGCTTAGCTATGCAATAACGATACTATCTTACCGCCTGCGTTGTTATTTCGGACGAAAACTTCAAGAGTACAGAGAGAGAGTTGCTTATATCTATCGGTCATTTATGCCCGATATGTTTTAAATATCTTTACATTTAATATAATAATAATATAAAGTAGTTTCCAATCGATAGCGATCAATTTCGATCATCTGTGTCATGCAGTTATTTTAGCATTAGATATAATTGCGTTGTGATGTTTTTTTTTATGCATTATCAAGTCATTATCAAGACAGTTCTGTGCCTTTTTCTTTGTTATCTTTGGTCCTTAAATTTTATTATTTCGATTACAGTCGTAATTAGCTGCGATCACTATTGTTCTAAACAATTGTCTGTCACAGATGTTTATTTGAAGTTAGTTTCATTCCTACTTTTTTTTTTATTTGTGTATTGGGATACAAATTTTGAACGAGTTACTGCAGCATATTATCTATTTATTTATATATTATTAATTTCATTTCCTTTATTATTATATATTTTAAAGTTATTTAATTTTTCTTTAACATTTAGGTTTGTTATAATATATAAATATGCGGAGTATTATAGAATTGGGTTTTGGGGATTTTTAATATTTTATATGGCATTTTTTATTAATACTTATAAAAGAATAGTTCTATCAATCAAAGTAGAATGTTAAACTTCGCCGTTTTATTTTACTTTTCAACAGTACAAATTTTGCTTCCGAAATTCGTTTCAAAAATTTGTAACGTTAGAATATAACAGCCATTCCTGCAGGAATTTTCATCTCAGAAGGCTTCTCTCGTTAATACACACACACACACACACACACACACACACACACACACACACACACACACACACACACACTATTTATATATATATATATATATGTTACTCGTGTTGTGTTTATCGGCTCGACAACAATTTCGTTATCAATTTCTCTTTGTAATATAATTTTGAAATGAAATACATCACATGTAATTTTGAAATGAAATACATCACATGCGAACAAATGCAATACCAATCGCAACGAATTTTTAATTATTATATTGAATAATGCTCTGTTGTAACGTATTTCAATATTTTGCAGACCTTTAGTTGCTGATATTATTCATCGATCTGTTATTATTTACCTGTCAAATGACGCAATAAAGTTATAAAATATGTAAAAATATTCGTCGTATAAATTCCGATCTGAAACATTCCCAAAATTTATTTTGTATTTCTCAAAAGTTATCAATTAAAAGTAAACAAGATTGAGAAAAAATTATACCGTAATAATTTTTATGTATATATGTATACGTAATGATTTTAAGTTTTATAATAAATCTAAAACTTTGCTTTTCATGTACGTATTGTTTTCAATATACATCGAAAAAATATTGTACACAAAATATATTACAAAAATTTCTACTTTTATTTAAATATTCTTTTATATAAAAATACAATGTTTAAAGATCCTGCTGGTTCACCGTAGCCATCTTGAATTATAACAGGAACGAAAAAACACATGATGAAAATTCATTAAAATGGAAATGTTTTTCGATAAAATAAACGTTTGCACTCGATAAAACAGACTTGTAAAATATACCGAAAACTCTCTTTTTGCTCCGATAATCGATAAATAACATATCTAAAAAATGAATTATATCTAATCAAGAGTCAAATTCTATTCTAGATATACACAACTTTTATTTATTAATTAATAAAGCGAAAAAGGAATTTTTTATATATTTTACGAGTCTAGTTCTATCGAGTGAAAAGGTTATTTTATCGAAAAATGTTTCTATTTTAATTCATTTTACAAGAATTTTTATCATATAGTTTGTGACGTCATTTTGGCTATGGTGAACCTTAAATACAAATAACTATAAACATATTATTCCAAATACCAAAGAAATAAACTTGCTGAAAGTATTAATTACTGCTTTATTCGCATTTCCAACTGCTTTGAGAGATAAGGAGGAAGTTTATAAAATTTCATTATCGATATTTGTACATAGTTTACGAACCGAACCGTAACGGCACAAAATTCGCTATCGCTCAAATGTCATACCACATGACGCATATATATATATATATATATATATATATATATATATATATATATAC